AGAGCATTAGGAAAACGTTTTCTAAATATTGTACCCAAACCAGTCCAACGTGAATGTCATGCTCTGGGAGATGTGAATATCAACTACATTCTCAGGGATTCAGTACACAAGGCAAGAAGGAAAGTGACATGTAAAAATCAAAAGAGTTTGCAGAATAAGGGAAGATAGAAACTCAATTTCAAGAATTCTAATATCTAAGATTTTTCTGCAAATGTAGACTCCGTACATGATTAAGATCCCTGTTTCCAGATCTCCTGAAAAAGGGCATAGCTAACGACATTTTTAAAGAAGTTTTATGTCCTGATAGATGGTATCACTGACATTTTACACTTATTATTTCAGATTGTTTTGCACTTGTAGAAACGGTAAGTGAATGCATTTTGAAACTCTGATGGTAACTTGACATTCACAAATTTCTGATCACCTGGAAAAGCCTACTAAAATATTACAAGCAATTATTTTAATCTTGTTGAAAATTAATCATACTTTATAATATCGGTTCTGGAAATAAATTCTAAATGTTAATTCTGATGCATTACTGTTGCAAATGGATCATCATGTAGAGGAAACATTTAGTTTAATTGGAGTTGATCCTGAGCCACTCTGCATTCATTATATGCTGCAAGAAGCTGAAAGGAAGTTCTGTCTTTTTGAAGAAAGAACAAGGGGAAAAGAACTACGGTCCTATATTGGTTTTAACCTACATTGCCAAGGCAGTAAGAGAAATCAGATCACACTACATGGCTTGCTTGGATCCCATTCTTTAATCCATCAGACAACTCCAAACTTGACAGTCGGTCCACAGAGTTGAAGTTTTGGCAAAACAGGACAAAATGCAAGCTTTACTAGGGCTCTCCCACCATGAAGAGAGTCATACCATGAGTTTACACTTCATCACATACCCCATAATCGGATGGGGAGACCGAGACTCAGTGTGTGAGAGGCCAACCCTCTTTGTTCAGGGACAGAACATTTAGGAATGTCTTTACGTAGCTGCTGTCTTAAAAGAGAAGCAGATCATCCAAGGCTGCTAAAATGCACTAGTTACAATGGTATTTAAAAATCATTTTAGCCCCTCCTCCCCTTGCACTGCCTTTGTCTTGGTTCTGCCCAAAGGTACTGTAGCCACGATGGGTCAAAAAGGCTGGGATGCACTTTTTCTCCAAAAAACTCTATGGGGAAATCCTGTGCTACATTGTCAACAAAGCTGGATGTGCAATAGGCAAACCTTGTGAAGCTGATATAACTGGAACGTTCTCCCTTAGGCTAGGAAGATCTATTATTGACAGATAGCTTTTGCTGAAAATACAGTATAAAGTGAACCCAACACTCTGAAAGCCAGGCCCAAGACCTGTTTAACATTGTTTTTGGAGCCTGGTTTTGTGAGGTCTTGAGCATCCGCAGCACCTCTGTCGTTTGGGCTGGAGAGCTCCTAGAACACTTTGACAAGCCCAAAGCACTGTGCAGAGCTGGGTTTGCTCCTGTGCCCTGACCTGTGACCCATCTGCGCCCAAGCATATGCCTGAATCTCTACATTTCTGCAAGCCAGACACAGAGACATACCACAGAACTTTGCCCAGAAGGTTACACATCTCCTGCACAGTCTGCACTAGCCCTATAAGAAGACAGAGGCCTGTTCAGGTCACAACTCTAACACAGTTCATGAAAGCCAGCTTCTTTAGAGTACAGAGTACTTATGTGTGAGAATTTTTCCATTCTTGCCTACCTCTCAGCTTAAATTAACTCTGGGATCCCTTCATGCTCTTTGGGCCCAATCTTACCCTCAAGGGATTTTCAGAAGAGAAGATTTAGAGATTTTTTTACGAACTTGTTTTCTGGGGTTTTCTGAATACGTTTTACATCAATGAAGAGCAAATCCAGACCAGTTAGTACAAGACATGGGTTTTAAAGAGATCCCTTTTGCATCTTCCACATAAAAGCAGCAAGGGAGCTGGTTGTCAAATGCCAGTATCTCCCGGAGGTGCTGTTCATTTCTACAGAGCTCCTTATTCCTTCACTAACTCTGGAGAGTGCTGCAATGCTCCCATGTGTTGCGCATAGCGTAGCTCATGTGCTGGTAAACAGGTGGAACGGTCTCCTAACTCAGTCCCTGGACTCTTCAGCATTCCCTACCACCAGGAAGGCCATCATGATGGGGCAGTGCTCCTTGATCTCACTCCTTCTCTGACAGGGAAGTTCATCCACTAGAAAGTTGACTAACAGCATGGACTATTTCTACACAGACAACCACATCCCCCCAGAGAGTAAGAACTGCGTTGGATGACATTCAAGACTATGCATGGAGTCTAAGGTTTTATGTTCCATTACCTGATAAAAGGGACTAAGAACTTGAACTACTTCAGACTACCAAATAACTCTCACATATTAACAACTTGGGCTGTTACTGAGCTGGATTAGATTCAAATCCATGCATGAAGGTAAAAGGTTTTGTGTTCCATTACTGGAGCCAACATTCTGTTTTCTTACTTGGCTCCTTTCATTACTATGTTTTTCAAAGCTGTTAGAAAGCACCCATTAGCACTTCATTCTGCAGAGCTAATCTAATAAAGGGACAAGTAAAGTGGGAGGAGGGAAAAGGTGAGCAGGAATTATTATCCAAATGAGGTGTTAAGCTTTGGCTTCTGCCCCCACCTTGGGTGAGGGTTACAAGGATTAGAGAGGAGAGAGGGAAAGGAACTTCTGTTTCTAAAGCATGACTATGAAAATAGACACACTGGTAACCATGAACAAAATGGAAAAAGTAAATATAGTCCATGAAGTAACACCATCAGGAAAACAAATGTTCTCAAAGAAAAATTTCAGAAACTGCATAATTCTCTGCAGCATTAAGCACTGAGAGCCAAGGTTTGCTTTTTTGGAAAAGTTCCTTTGCATCTGGATCCTCATCAGACTTGGAAGGAGGAGAAGTCTAGCAGGGTTGTGGTTTGGAGCGCTCAGGCGCTCCCACTGCCTATTGTTCAGTTTTCTTTGTAATAATAGCGTAAGTCTCATGTCTGACATATGCCTGACAGCAAGCCTCTGCCAGTCTGTCTTACCTGAGATGTTTATCATCTAGGTCCAGACACTGAAGAAATGTAACAAAGCAAAAGCAGAAGCTGGATGTTGACCCCAAAGTGAGACTCAAATCACCTATAGCATTCAGATACTATTTTTGAGGTACCCCAAGATTTGCCAGAGCATCAGACATAGCTTGTCTGAAGCCCTGCTTTTGCACTTTGTATTGGAGAAAGAGCTCAACATAGATAGGAACAGAAACTGGAAAAAAAGGATCAGTATATATACCAGTGCAGTTCACTTCCTGATCCAACTATATTTGGTGTATTGTGATGACCTCAGTATGCTCCAAAGGCTGACACAACAGCTGCTAGTTATTTCAAACTATCGCACCATGTAGCATCTACCTGAGAATGGCAAATCCAGTGCAGTATATGTATATATATAAACCATTAGAGCATTCCTCCTTTTGCGAATCATCTTAAGTACTACCGGTGTCAGGAATGCTGCCTTGGAGCGGGGAACACCTGCAGATTTTCAGTTAAAAAGTCATTGATAAACTGCATTTATCTCACTTGACTAAAGGATTTAAGTAAGTTTCTCCTGTCTCCTTTCCCTCCTTTTCTTCTGAGGGGCTTGCATGAACAGAAGTCACAAGGCCTTTCTTGACAATGTCAGAATAATCCCTGTACATAGTGAAAGTGTATTACAAACGAGAACAAATTATTTTTCAGTTATAAATTCCTGAGAACACTACCATCCCACAGACTGCTGAACAATTTTGGGGTTTAGGGAGTGATACGTAATTTAAAAGTCATGCTCTTTGGAAATTGCAGGGGAAAAAAAATCTGCAGTTTTTTGCCTTCCAGATTCATAATTATTTCTCAGTCTGGTGGTAAAACAAATATTTTCATGCATTTGTTGATGTGCCAAGAGCATTTGGCAACGTACAAAATCCCTGCTATTTGGGTCAGTCAAGTGTCTTCAGATGTAAGGCAACCCAATAGATCCTCCAAGCTGGGCTGTGCCAGACGCTGTTTGCCCTGGTTCAGAAGAAGGGGCTGTTGGAGGCAACCTCACACAAGCGCTGCTCCCCACTGGCTCTGCTGCCTCTGTGGGGAGCAGAGGCGCCCGTGCCCAGCGACTCACCCTCCTCATCGTCTGCCCAACCACTCAAGGTCAGACCCAGGCACGCGCTCCCCTCTGCGCCAGGCGTGTGGAGAGGGAGCAATCCTCACCAGCTTCCTATTGCTATCTCTTGGCCCCAGCCCCAGAGCTAGCTGATGCTCTTTGGCAACACACTCCGAATTCATGCCTCCCTTTTAGAAGACACAGTAGGGAGACAAAGGAACAAATGGGCCATAAAAGCAAAACCTCGCTCTTCCCAAAAGGTAAGCCTGTACATAAGGAGAGCCTCTGGTGTATTTGTATAAGCTTACTGCATGAACTGATGGAATTAATAGCTCTTACTTTCTGCGCACAAGCAATGCAGCTTCTACATACATCCCCTCTCACCTTTACGTGCAGATTATCATATGCAGAAAGCAGAATTTGGATCCTTGGTCCCACTCCACCACGCCCCACCTTCCTTCCCTGCTCCAGCCACCCACCCCTCCACCCCGGGTTGTTTTGCTGTATCACTGGTAGCCAGATCATCAACTGACCTGTGAATCAGACACGGGAGGACAAGGCATATCCAACCCATACTACAGCTATACCCCACAGGGATGAAAAGAGGACTTCAAATTCCAACGTTAATCATTTGATTTTTTCCATTATTCCTACACAAATATATATGTGAAAAAATAATGACATCATGTTGTTCAAGAACCTCGTTCTGCCGAACCTGAAATTAGAAGTAAGCCATTGCCTCATTTGGCTGGCAGTCGTAGCTGGCTGGCAATCCCTTTCTTTAAAGAGGAATATAATATTACAAACGTTCAAGAACTGAAAAGATAGTTTATCCTGGTTAGTAAGTTTGTTACCTTCAACATTCTGACTCAAGCCAGTTGAAAGTGAACATGACGCATGTGTACGATAGAAACTCTCAGACTTCATATCGCAGCGAAGCTTGAAGGCTGTATTTAGAAAGCACATCCCAACTGCTTACAACACTCGCGCTCTTTAAAATATAGTGCATGGGATCCAAAGAGCAGATGCTCCTACAAACAGAAAAGATATCAACTTTTGTTAGCATCTCAAAAGTGGAGGGATAATTCCCACAAACTGTTATTTGAATCAACTGTTTTGTCTATTCAGCATAACCTGACATCACATATTCTCTTCAGTCCCATATATCAAAGCATTTCTATTGAGTGACAAACCTGAATAGCCATGAGATCCATCTTTTCCTTGCTTAAGCACACATGTAACTATACTAGTCTGCCTGGATGAGCAATTTGCCTCATTTTGGGACTGTACATCGTAAGATCCACAGCGTACTTTTGAAGCTGTACTTAGAAAAAGTAACAGCATACTAATGAGATACAAGGTGCAACGTGGGAAACAGCAGCTGTCATACATCTTATCAAAAACAAACAAGCTTAGCCCATCTCAGTGTGCTGGAGACCAAGACATACATGTTGAAATATACTCATATTTGCATCAAATATTTATCAAATACTAGAATACCTCAGTATGCAGAATACATAAACAGCACTCAGCACACACGATTTCTCTCACTGCCACTTTCCTACTGGCAGCCAGGCAAACCCAGGCATGCAAACACTGTATTTCTTTTCCTCTTCAACGCCCCACAGCTGGCACACTTATGCAATTTCCTAAAGGGTATTTCTCATCCCATGGCACGTGCCCCTGACTGCTCTCCCCAGGGGCCAGGATTAGCCGTATCACCCCCCAGAGGTGCATATGATGGAGGGAACCTGAGAAGTTTGGGAAGCAACAGGTGAGCACTGTGGAAGCCTGGGAGCTTGGAGCACCCTCCCCTGCTTTGCTCACTGCAGCACCTAGGCTAGGGCACTTTCACCAAAGCCTGGCTCAGGGCAGCCCAGCTCAGCCTGTGAAGCACAGGAAGAAATGCTGTTCTTTGCCATGGCACAAATGCGGTCAATATGTCCAAGAGGAAGCATTGTGGGGAAGGGCTGATCAGTCCATGCTGTATTCCTGAAACGGACACTCTGAAGCTAAAAAAGCTGCGGGATGAAATCTTGACCTAATTATGCTAATGGCGGTATTGTCATTGTCTTCAGTGGAGCTAGGCTTTCTCCACAGGGAATCTGCCAGAAAATCCCAATAGCCATTTGTATTTTCCTATTTCAGGACAAAAATTAGGTACAGCCCACTGGTGTACCGCTGTCACCATGGAAACCCTGTTTGACAGAGTGTGAAAACTTTTGCAGTACTGGCTAGATTGATAGAGTGTTGAGCACCTTATTTCCCATTAAGTTTATGAAGGGTCTCATCATTCAAAAATTATACCCATGCATGTACAAATAGCTGTAAGTATACACATAGCTACTACATGTGTATGTCTTTATATTTATGTACCACAAATCCCTTACCGTATTCCTAAATTGAATTCCACTCTTCAAACATACCATGATGATATAAGAAGAACTTCTATATTTTACAAGCACATACTAATTATATTTTCCATTGCAACATCCTGTGAGTAGATACTGCCCCATTCTGCAAATGGGGAAACCAGGGCACACAGAAGTTGCAGACCTTGTCAAAACCGCACAGCCAAGCCCTGGCAGATTTTGGAACGGAATCCATGAGTCCTGACTCTTTAGTTCTCCTGCTCTGATCACCAGACAACACTCCCTTCCTCTGAAATAGGCTATTTTGATTGAAAACAGATGGTGTACATTTTTGGCACAGTGCTTTAACTATATTAAAATGCTCTGAATGAATATGTGCTTATATCATACTTATATATGAATACATGTATATGCATACATACTATATCTATGCATACAGAAATAGATATGAGTTAAGGATATATCAATTTACATATATCATATGCAAATGTAATGGATATGCTGAAAGATACTTAAGTGCAGCTGCACAGCTGACATACCTAAATATATAGGTTGTATTCTTCAGTGGTATTGAAATTACACACTATGTATTCTTCCCTCTCTCTAAGCAACAGACTTCACATTGTTGATGGAGTATATACTCTGACGTAACTCACGTTAATGTTCTTTATATTTTCACGAGAAGTTTTGGTGTAGTTTCAGTAAGAGATGAATCACATCCTTTTGCATTAGCTCCAGGACCTATCTCCATCCTAGCTTGAACAGTGCACTTAACAGACACCTTCTGCATTTGCAGCTTTTTTCTTTCTGCAACTGAATTGTTATGTCTTGAATACGACGCTTATCTTTTGAATTTGTTCTTTCTGTGATAAGATTTGTTCCTGCATTAAGACTTCTCTAAACAGTTTGTCTCCAGCTAAGGACCGGTAAACTCTGAGTTGGACTCGCTGTCTGTCAGGATTAACATCTTCCCGCACATCATACCCTGAAGGAGATGACAAGGGCCAGTTTATAACTCCATGATTCTTTGCCTGGTTGCCTGCACCGTTGAGTCAGGTAAAGATGATCCGTCATATCAGCTGACAAGCAACTCTGGAGGTCTTCCCTGTGGTTGGAAACTATCAGAACGGGCATGTATCTCCTGCTATCTCCAATGCATCCCTGGCAAAGATGGGAGGATGGGCCTTGGAAGTTACTTACGCAGGGAGAGTAGTGCACTAGCAACATAAAACCTAGTCACAACCCCTTTCCATGAAGGGGCAACACAGAGGAGCCAGAATAAACAACCATTGACTGTATTTCCATTTCTTTTATTGGTCGACTGGATTTTCCCCTTCACTTACCACAAAAGAGGTAAGGAAATAAGCCTTCAAATCCACAGTTATGCAGGGGGAGTTGAGAACAGCTCATTCCCCACGGGTGCTAATCCTTTGTCTGCACATTGGCCCCAGCTACCTCATGCCTTACATGCACATGAAGTGGGCTACAGTCAGGGATGAGATTAGAATTTGGGAATTTACTCCTCACAGAAAGGGGAGTCTGGGCAAAAACAGTTTTTTCTGTTTGTGCT